TTAAAAAAAAAAAAAATAGTAATATTAATAATAATACTTATTATTGTTATTGTTGTTATTAGTAGTAGTAGTAGAAGTATAAATATTATGAATATAATACAAATAGTAGTACCAAAAAATTACAGTGACAACAATTTAATTTATTATGGTTAGTAATTATAATAATTATAATAATAATAATACTTATATCATTATTATTATTATTATTAGTAGTAGTAGTAGTAGTATGAATATTATGAATATAATATAATTAAAAATACGAAATAATTACCTTTATTTAATGTTTTATTAATAATAATAATACTTAATTTGATCAGTTTTATTAAATTAAATTAACAATGATAAAGTAATAGCAGGAGTATTAGTAGCACTAGTAGTATAAATATTATAAGTAATATTACTTTAATTAAACTTAAAGTAAACCTAATTTAATAAGTTTAATTTCTTCTTCTTTTGATAATCTTCTCATTATTATCTAATAATATCTAATAATATCTTCTAATAAATATAATAATAAAAATATAGTTTAATATAGAAGGTTATTTTATAATAATAATAAATTAAACTTATTAAATTAAGATCATTATTTTGTATTTGTATTATTATTAGTAGTAGTATTGAAAGTAGTAAATATTATCAATATAATATAAATAATACAAAATTTAATGCAAAACTTAAAAAAATATATTGGATTTGTTTATTTATTATTATTATTATTATTATTATTATTAACAATATTGATAATTTAATTTAATATGGTTCTAAAAAAACATTGTTGTGAATGGAAAGTAAAACTAAATTAACAAATGATATCTGAGCCATCTTTTTGGACCTGGTATAATGGGAACGCAAAGACAACTGGGTTCCTTTCATTCTGTTAACTTTTTGGTCCGCTTAAAGGGGTCTGAGCTTGGTTCATTTAAAGGGGACTCCACTAACCCTAAACCTTTTCACTGAAACTAACCAAATTTAAATTTGCCTTCTCCTTTTCAGAGGCCCCAGGTCACAAGATTCATGCTCCGCCTGATAGCAGCGACTTCGGCAACGAGCCCCACAAGCGGCGTAACCAGATTCTGTCTGCTCTGTTTGCTGTGGGAGCCATGCTGGGTTACGCCATCCTCACCGGGATCCTTACGATCAAGCGTGAGCGGCCACAGCTGAAGAACTCCAGCCATGATGATGAGGATGATGAAGACGAGGACTAAATAAAGAAGAAAACATGGGATGGGAGCCACAAGGGACAACAAGCGCACATTAGCGCTCACCTGCCGTTCAGAGTGAAGCTGCACACACTATTACCTCAGTTCTTTATAATCTCCCATCATGCACGTGTGCGCTCTAACAGAATCGCTCACTTGATGGAGCCTCAAGCGAGCCCATATTGGTGCTTTTAATTATTGTTAATGTAATTGTTACTATAATAGTTGTGATCTGTCATTTTGTCAGGTCTCACAAGGCAGAAATTTTGACTTTTCAGGTCAATGTTTTATCTTCTGGTCAGCATTCAAGTAAACTGGGTAACATTTATTTAACATCTGGGTAACATTTATCTTACATATTAAAAAGACAAACACTAATATGAGAAAATTGGTCTGTGCTACTGTACTACTTTTCACATAGCAATCCATCTTATATACATCATCATGGCCCTTATGAAAATTAACCATAGTTTTATTTTAGTAAAAGTGTAGTAGCCATGTTTTTTTGCAGATTGATTACCATTTGTATAAACACAGTTTTACATGGTTAAACTACGGTTAGTGTAGCAAAACCATGGCTAATTTGTGGTTACTGTGGTTTAACTACAAAAAACATGTTTTTTTGGTTTTATTTGTAGTAAAACCAAGGTTAATTTTTGTTAGGGGAAACTTGGACTGAAAATTAGGAATACAGAAGAAACATTACCAGCTGCACCATTACGCTTTAACACTTTTAGACAAGCTGTAAATATTACATTAATTTGGTGCCGTGACCTGATATTCTGTCCTGCAGACTAAACATGCTGTCAAGCTATATTAACGTTTCCAACGCATTGCAGAAATCACGCAGAGTAAACTTGTCAGACTTCTTATCTTAAACCAACCATCTAGGAGCTCTTTGACCTCTCGAGACTCAAAGCTTTATAAATCAGCCAGATTTTAAAGCTCTCCTGAGAACCGCTGCGGAGAACTTTATTATTTCATGCCAAACATTGCAGTTAAGTCAGAGTCTGTGGCCATTATACAGCTGTCCCAGTCTCTCACTGGAAACCCAAGGCACACTGGGGTCGTCCATTGTGTTTCTCTGAGGCCAGACCTGCCCTATGTCTCACTGGGCTGAACCTTCTCAAAGAGCTTTCCACAAAACAACTTTACTGTCAGTCACTGGCGCAACTGTTAAATCATGACAGGATTCCACATTTATTGCGCAATGTTTGGTTTGGTACATGCTGTTCATCTTCTGTATTTAGTCTATAAATAATAGAAAGGTACTGTACCGTAGCAGTATTTAACCGTTATAACAACAAAGCACTCAGTTGGAAGTCTTTTCTGGATTCTTTCAGCATTAAGAACAAGAATCAGGTCATCAGTGTGTTCAATATCATAGGATAAGAGGGTTGTTTACACAGCTTGCATGTGTTTAACTTTATTATTGGTCTATAATCTTAGGATGAATCTTGATCGAAATTCTTTCTGGTTGGCTTGTTCCAATTATGCTGCTGTTTAGTGTAAAGTTCAACATTTAGTTTGAGTTTTGAGATGTCTGTGTTTTGTATGTAACGTGAGAGTGTTTCAAATGTCAGTATAGCTACCGCTGCGGTGGGTCAACCAAGGTTACTCTCAGTTTGGTTGAACCAATCGATGGCAAAGCTGTTACTAAACCATTTTTGTCATGATTAGGAAGTTGCGTTGAAACTTAAACTAAGTGGCACGTGTTTTACAGAAGGAGAACACTCAAAGGAGCATATTTCATAAAGTTTGTTAGGTTTCAAATGATAAAAAAGGGTAAAAGGTAGGCTATTTGATGACCTTCTGGCTTGCAGATTTTAGTGGATGTGGTGACTAAGAGGACACCTATGTTCATATGTCCATACAGCATATGCAGATTCATCCAATAAGGTTTGTAATGTAATTACATTTAGGCATTTCCAAATTAGTCAAGTCAAGAATGTACACACACTTGTCTCTGCCCCGTCCCGAAAAAAAAGGTCCTAAAATGCAGTTGCTAGGTTTTCTGGACCCCTTGTGCAGTTTATTGCATTGGGCCTCCTAGCTAGCAACATCCCTGTTAAAATATTACAACGTTTTAATTGATGGCTAACCACCAGAGCTGGGTAGCTTACTTACAAATTGTAATCCGTTACTGATTCCAAATTACATGACAAAAATTGTAGTTAGTAACTATTACACATTTTAGGTAATATAATCAGACTACTTTTAGATTACTTTTGACCTAACTCGTTTATTACATTGATTTAAATAGGACAAACTTGTACTATATTGGCTATATTGATATAAAAATATAAAGAAAGAAAGTAGGAAAATATATTCCATTTGTTGTTATTGACAACATGAAGTACATTAAACATTACATTAGGTCAAAGTTTCCCAAACTGGGGTTTGTGAAGGAACTGAAGGGGCTTTAATTAAATCATAAAAATGTTAAATCATTTTAAAATCAATCAAAATAAAAAACTTACTGAGAAAATGAAATATTTGATTTGTTTACCTACATGTCATGTGACCATAACCAACATCAGAGAACCAATGAACATGCAGATGTGATGCTTAATATTTTTAATATTTATTTTAATATCTCAGGTGTACTTCAAGTAAATATATTAGGTGAAAGAGGATCAGATGAGTAAAAAGTTTGTGAATTTGTGCATTTTAATGTGTTTGTAAGACAAAAGCCTTCCAAAGACTTAGTAATACATGGTTAAATAACCTACAGAGAAAAATGAATGTGTTCATAGTTGATGCAACGTTGAAACACTTCTTAAACCTGAAATGATTTTTGTAAATCCAGTGGTCAAATGTTTAGCCACCTGACTAGTGACTGGTCTCTGTGTGAATGTCCACAAAACTGAAAGACTTTCTGAGTGTATATAAGTGGCAGGCTATTTTAGAAAGGAACATTTAAAAGGTGAAAAAGAGGAATTAAGGAGAATCAATAAATTATGAATAATTTATTGCTATTGTGTAAATAATATGTAATCATGCAATACATAAAAAAAGTAACTACTCTGATTACGAGTATTTTAAAATGTAATTTAATCTAATTACATGTACTTAATTTTTGGAATCTGATTATGTAATCCAGATTACATGTAATCTGTTGCTACCAGTGTTGGACTGAAGGGGCTTTAATTAAATCATAAAAATGTTAAATCATTTTAAAATCAATCAAAATAAAAAACTTACTGAGAAAATGAAATATTTGATTTGTTTACCTACATGTCATGTGACCATAACCAACATCAGAGAACCAATGAACATGCAGATGTGATGCTTAATATTTTTAATATTTATTTTAATATCTCAGGTGTACTTCAAGTAAATATATTAGGTGAAAGAGGATCAGATGAGTAAAAAGTTTGTGAATTTGTGCATTTTAATGTGTTTGTAAGACAAAAGCCTTCCAAAGACTTAGTAATACATGGTTAAATAACATACAGAGAAAAATTAATGTGTTCATAGTTGATGCAACGTTGAAACGCTTCTTAAACCTTAAATGATTTTTGTAAATCCAGTGGTCAAATGTTTAGCCACCTGACTAGTGACTGGTCTCTGTGTGAATGTCCACAAAACTGAAAGACTTTCTGAGTGTATATAAGTGGCAGGCTATTTTAGAAAGGAACATTTAAAAGGTGAAAAAGAGGAATTAAGGAGAATCAATAAATTATGAATAATTTATTGCTATTGTGTAAATAATATGTAATCATGCAATACATAAAAAAAGTAACTGTACTCTGATTACGAGTATTTTAAAATGTAATTTAATCTAATTACATGTACTTAATTTTTGGAATCTGATTATGTAATCCAGATTACATGTAATCTGTTACTACCAGTGTTGGGGAGTAACTAGTTACATGTAACGGAATTACGTAATTTAATTACAAAATAAAAGTAATTGTAATCAGTTACAGTTTACTGAGAAAAAATGTGTAATTAAATTACAGTTACTTATGAAAATGTTAAGGATTACAAAGGGGGTTACATCTGCTTTTTTTCACACACACCCCCAACATACAGATTTAATTGATTTCTTTCATAAATTGCAGTGACTGCTCTAAAATACCAATGTTTCAGGAGTTTAGAACATGCTTATTCGATATCTCTTATTTCCTATATGGGTTTATGTATAGCTATGCTTAATTTTTTAAAGATTAACAGTTTTTTTCCCAAGGCATTGTCAATATTTTATTAACTATGATATCGTTTTTGAAATCAAATCTTTACGTACGTGTTTACTGTCATAGCTTTACACTACTTATTACATTTTAAGTAGGGTAACTTGTAATCTGTAACCCATTACATTTCCAAAGTAACCTTCCCAACACTGGTTACACCCAGCTCTGCTAACCACTAAGTTGTTGTGTTTTCATTCATTCACTTAGTAAAGACCATGTTCCTTGAAGATATTTTTAAACTTTCCTACAGTGAATATCAAAACTTAATTTTTGATTAGTAACAGGCTATGCATTGCTAAGAACTTAATTTAGACAACTTTTAAGGCGATTTTCTCAATAATTTGAAAGTTCAGTGCTCTCACATTCTTGGTGACAAAGTGGTCATCTGGTTAGTTGTTGTGCTGTTAAACCGTTAATTCATAACCCAAATTGTCCTTTATTGTCTCATTTCATGCTTCCCCCAGCGACGCAGTCAGTGCTCGAACAATGAGATAATGACATGTAAATGGAAGCTGTTATCCATACAAACATTGATTGTGAGAAATTAACTATTTATTAAGGGGCAATATTTGCCCCCTAGATTTTTTTTAATGGGCATTTGTTATTATGGCATGTAACTCTGGTTAATTTTTTATTTTATTGCACATCTTTCCTCGAATGAAAGTGCATATAAATGTAAAATGTTATATATATATATATATATATATAAAACTCAGTTGCACAAGAAATTATTGACTGAATGATGTTTATATAGAGAAATATTTATAAAAACAATTAAGTAAAAATAAGAAAGTGCCTCCTTCCATTAACAAGCTTTGCATATAGCCTACCAGTAGAACTATAGGGACAAGAAATAAAGGTAAAATATCCTTTATCTAGAGGAATAGAGCCAGCTTCAGTTTAGTTTGTGGCTTGCACTGTAAAAGTAACTAGGCTACATATTTTCCAGTTTATGGGACCTTTTAAGTCATAAATACTAAGAACATGAAATTACATAAGAGCCCATGTTTCACCAACAGAATCCCCCAAAAGTTATCCCAACTAGTCAAAGGTTTCTGAACAAAGAATTTCAAATTGAACTATATACTGAAATGTTAAGAGTTTGTGAGTTCCCAGCATGCATTGTAGCATGAATATAATAGGCCTCTAATCAAATAAAATAATTTTCTAATTATTATTTCCCGTAACTTGAAAAAGGTCACTTGCTTAAAAGTCAACAACTCTGTAGAGTTTAGAGAGAAGCCAAAAATCACCATGTTAGGTTATATAATAAT